CTCTTGGTCCATTAAGAGAGTGCTATTGCCCTTAGCTTTTAATGCCCTGGAAGATCATCAAGCTTTTGTACACAGGACTAATTTTGTCAGACTTACATTTTGTTCATAGAAGCACACAGTGGAATGTGCGTAAGATCTTCGGCTCATTCAATCTATTCACAGCACAAAGTACCTACATGGATAGGCACCCAGTGAATGCTGAATGAATGTCTGCAATTGGGAGAGCTTAAGCCTGCTAACTTTACTTATCCCAGCAGTCCCATAGAACTAACAAGGAGGGACATCCCGGTTACTTGTAGAAATTGTTCAAGCAGGAGCTGATCATTTACAAGTCACACCAGGAGTTTCTCAGCATAAGACCTATAAGATGGAATTTGGAGAGCCCAGAACAAGTTTAGAATTATGGGGTGGACTGACTGTTCTTGATTTTTGTGGAAAATGTGTTATGGTCCTTTGGAGCCTCTTATGAGGCCACTGAATGATCGAGAGGCATAGAATGGGGGTGGAAAGACACACAGAGCACATTTTTCCACTGTATTTTGGCTCAAGGGCGATTTGGAGAGTACAATTTTGTCATTTATAAAATCTCTCTAGTGCTTGGCCCCTACCTCCTAAGCAAACAGAGAAATGAAAATTACAACTGGAAAAGAAACAGATAAATAAGAAATGTGTAAGTTTCTCAGGAAACAAAAATAGTTAAACTCTGGTGCACTTTTCAAATATGCCTCTGAAATTTTACAAGATTTATGCAAGGGCAGAAAGAATGCTCCCCTGTTGGCAGCAGAGGGCCATGTGATGATTCAGCAGTTTCTTTGGCTCCAGCAAAGCCAGCCCTTTGCAGCCCTCAGCCATGCTGCAAGGTAAAAGAAGAAGAATAAGCACACTATGGTGTCACTGTCAAAAACGAGTTTGCTTCACTTCTGAGAGGAGGAGGAGGAGTGTCCTGGTATTGGACAGAGACCTCTGTAGCAGAGAGACTGCTTCTCGGAGGCTGGTGATAGTTCAAACCTATGTCAAACATTGAGTGATGAACTTACTTGTTTTTATTTCAATCTACAAATGTGCTCGCTGCTTGCTTCTTGATTAGTTGTCCAACAAATGAAGGTCTACTAAAAAACAGGAGCTAAGATGATGATACTCTGATTGCATGTTTAGTCTGGAAAGGTAATAGTTTTCAGGAAGAAAAGACACACCGGTATGTATATGGCTTTTCTTGGATGATTAAAAAGAAAAAGGAAAAAAGAATTGTACCTTAAGAGGCATGATTTACAGAGAAGAGTCCAAATCAGATCTCACCCAGTTAAAGACCCCAAGTATTTCCTCGGCACAAGTCGGGTACAGAGCTGGTCAGAGGCTTCTGGCTTCTGACACATTGCTAAGAAGAAGCGAGGGGAAGAGAGAGTTCTATAGCAAATGGGGGGATCTAGAATTTGAGTAATACTTTGGGCTATGTGTTATTGTCTCTGAAGATACAGGAAAACAGTGTCGTGTTTATATTCATTCGTTCTCAGAGGATACAATGTTTAGACATGTTTTCCTACTTGCTGGCGTATGGGTAAAAACTTATTTACAGGAGCAGAGATGACTCAGACCCAGCTGCAGCACCAGAAGTCCACCCAGCGTGAGTGACAGTTCATGGAAGTTAGAAACTTTGCACTCTACAACCTTCAGGCAGCTCAACAGGATGGAATGTCTCTTTCAGGATGAGTGGTTGATCTGAGCCTCCAGGTAGCACCTCTGCTCTCTGCCTCCTCCAGGCAGTTAGCTCGTCTGAGCCTCTCAGTAGTTCTTACTACTTTTATATGCTTGGGGAGAGAGGGATCCCGTGAATTAGTTTTAGGGATGTTCTGAAGCCTCCGAGTTCATTTCTTGAATTTCAGGAGCTCTCCTGCAGAATGGAATGTCTCACCTGCCTTAGACTATCCTGTGCTGATGAACTCCCCTTCAAGATCTCGGCCTTTAACTCAGAGGAAACTGCTGTGCACCAGGAAGCCACAGGTCAATCTTGGGTTCCTTCCTCTGGAGCTGTCCACCTTGGTATTTTGCAATAGGGGCTGTTGGGGGTCTGGGTCTTTTTATTAGGCTAGGGTGGCTGAGCAGTGAGCTCCCGCCAGTTTCCTGTCTCTTTGTCATTACACCATTCTTGGCTTTTTATGTGGGCTCTGGGATATGAACTCAGGTCTTCTCCACACATGCACAGCAAGCACTTTATCAACTACAACCATTTCTCCAGTGCTGCTCAGCTAAGAATTTTATGAAAAAGAAAAATAATGAAGGCGTCTTGTTCCTTCTGATACTGTGTATAATACATTTTATATTGATGAAAATATAGTTTTAGTAGAAATGATTTATGCAAATTTAACAGAATGATTGGAACCATATAGCAACCCACTTTAGATGATACTTTAATATATAGTGATGGAGAGAGAATAAATTAGTAAAGAGGAAATTATTTATTAAGTGATGTTAGAAAATAGGATTGAAAGAAAAATGGAATTATGAAGTAATTCAAATAAATCATTATTTAACTGTTATTTAACAACATTAATGTTTTATAGTAGTGAATTTCCCTGCATTTCAATGAGGTGTTTGATTTGTTAAGACCTGCAGTGAAACTGAACAAAATTGTTGTTACAGAAGTGCAGAAGAGCACAGGCTTTATACACTTTAGGGTTTATACACTGTCTTGCCAACTGTTGAGGTTAAATGTATATTAAAGGTTCACAAATTGAGATTTAGTTATCAAGAATTTGACCTGAGGAAGAGTGGCCTTCAGGATGTGATTATGTTTGAGGCTCTGCCTACAGACAATAGAGTAGTCCATAAGAAAAGAGCTTCTAGTGTTTGCCTTTTAACTCTTGCTTTCTCTGCCAGTGAGGACAGCATACAAAGAAAACTGCTATGATCTGGGTCTCTCAAGAAGTGGAAATGAGTGTGTTGCCCAAGTGAGCTCCTGGAAGTAGGAATGCCCACAATAGGGAGGCTCTTCTGGGTGTGAAGCTTGAACACTAGCACCAGCTTCTGTCTGACCAGGTCCTCTGTTGCTCTCCCTGACTGCATAAATATCTATTCAATCTTTAAAATTAAGTATAAGTAGGGGTTATTAAATTTAAAAGACTATCGTGGCTATTTTCAATAAAAGGAAACGGGGAAGAGGGTAGTTAAAGAAGACTCATCAACCATGATGCTAATCCAAGTGGAAGGTACAGGATGAAGAGGTTCAGTGAAAGAGCATTGGATACCAGTAATTCAGGGGGAGTGTAACAAACCTTCTGGAAGGCCTTCCTGCAGTGACGCCATTCGTTTCTCTGCTTCTCAAAGTTACTGGTACTCCACCTTTAGCTGAGTCTCCGTGACTGTGATGTTGAATTTCACAACATATCAGCATCCTTCCTATGGTGCCAGCTCAGAGCCATGATGGCCAACCTGACTAGAATGAGGGAGGCCTAGGTTACTAAAATGTACTTGTGGGTGTGTCTGTGAGGGTGTTTACAGAGATGCTCAGTGTATCCAACAGCAGAAGGAAGGGAGAGACTCTGAATGTAGGCAGCATCAGTTATTAAAAAGACTCAGACGAGTGCAGAAGAAAGAGGAAGCCAGTCATCTCTTCTGATGCAAAGCCCACTATTGTTGCTGTTATCATCTATGGACACCAGACTGCAGTTTGTTCAGCCTCTAAGATGCACATTAGCACCTAAGATTCCCCACAGAGCTTCCCTGCCGCCAGTCTCTGATGGAGACTATGTATCGTTGCTGTCTCTTGTTCTGAGGTTTCTGGTTTCTTGTAGTCAACAGGTATTGGGTTCTCTGGGTCTCCAGGGTGCCAAAAAACTTTATGTAAGCTAATTTAATAAATCCATATATATGTGTATATTTACTTTTTAAACCAGGACTAGCATCATAGTTGATGAATCTGCTTTGATTACCATCCTCTTTATTTCCTTTTATTGAAAAAATATAATATTCTTATATATTAAATATTGTATTAACTCACTACTAATTATATTTAATTATGGATATATATATTAAAGTCAGAAAGAGCAATAGAACATCTTGGTCAGATAGAAACAGTGCCCATGTTCAAGTTTCACACCCAGAAGAAATTCCCTATTGTGGACATGCGTTCTTCAAGGAGCTCATTTGAATAACACACTCATTTCCACTCCTTGAGAGACCCAGATTAAGAGACCCAGATTATGTCAGTTTTCTTTGTATACATGTGTTTATATATGTGTGTGTGTGTGTATGTGTGTTCATGTGCGTACACATAAACATATGTATATGCACACATGTATACACACACACTCACATATATATGAGTGTGTGTATGTGTGTGTGCGTGTGCGTGTGTGTGTGTGTGTGTGTGTGTGTGTGTTTGAGAGAAAGAGGGGGGGAAGAGTGTAATAAATAGTACTATGAAAGCCAGTCATCAAGATCATGCTCTTGAAATTGTGAAATTGAAATTATTTTTTTTACAAAGTACCAGTTCTGTTGTAAAAGAAACTAAAAGTGAACTAATGCAAGGCCTAATTGATTTCATCAGTGTAGCCTAAGATCATGTATAGTAACAAGAACGGTAGATTGACTATCAAATGATCTCTTGTATAGATATGTGTATTTGTCTGTGTGTTTGGGGGGGAGGATGAGTTTGTCTGTCCCTGAGGACTTACATATTTTGCATGGTTATACTAATCCTTAAAACTATGATAAGTTCCTTTAAGAGAGAACTAATATATATATATATTTCTTAAACATTTTATTTATGAAATTTCCTGATTCTGTGTTTATGTTTTGTTACATTTGATGTACGATTCATTGTCCCTCAAATATGTGGGTTTTTTTTTGTGTGTGTGTGTGTGTATCTTAATATGGGTTTCTACTGCTATGAAGAAACACCACAACCAAAAGCAAGTTAGAGAGGAAAGTGATTATTTGGCTAATGCTTCCATATCCATAGTCTACCACTGAAGGGAGTTAGGACAGGAACTCAAACCAGGCGGGAACCTAAAGGCAAGAGCTGATACCGAGGCCATGGAAGGGAGCTGCTTAATTGCTTGCTCCCCTATAGCTTGCTGGACCCATTTTCTTAGAGAACCTAGGACCATCAGCCCATGGATGGCACCACCCACAATGGGCTAGCCCCTCCCCCCATCAATCACCAATTAGGAATATACCCTACAGTCTTGTCTACAGCCCCATCTTAAGGAAGTATTTTCTTAATTGAATATCCTTTAATTGGATTTGAATAACTTTCCCAACAGTGACTCATATTTTTTGACCCTAGATCTCACTGGAGATATACCATTGTATTTAATTTTCATTTATTGACCCCTTTTAGCATGGAACAAGTCTTCATTCTTCAGAAACAACATTATGAACTTTTCATCAATGTGTCACTGTAAACAGTGTTACAGCACAGGTACAACACTGAAAGTGGACATTCACAAGTGCAGCCATATGTCATAGAGTCCCCTAAGTTTTGGGAGTATTAAAGTCAAGCACACAGGGGGTATCTATCATTTTATAAGCAATAATCCTATATTAATTCTAAAATGTGATTGACAATCTAAGTGCATTGTATTCTTATTCTATGAAGAAGAAAAATGATTTCTTAATGATGTTACTGAGTCTGCCATAACCTCTTAAAATTTTATCTGCAAGCCGGGCGGTGGTGGCGCATGCCTTTAATCCCAGCACTCGGGAGGCAGAGGCAGGCGGATCTCTGTGAGTTCGAGGCCAGCCTGGGCTACCAAGTGAGATCCAGGAAAGGCGCAAAGCTACACAAGAGAAACCCTGTCTCGGAAAACCAAAAAAAAAAAAAAAAAAAAAAAATTTATCTGCAACTCAGGGAACATATACTTGGGGATTTTCATTTGAGTCACATTCAAAAGAATAAGAATTTAAGAATATTGAGGTATATCCATTTAAGATTGAAAGGCTGCTGATTGAGCCCTGTATTACTGCATAGCTTTTATTTAATCAATTATATTTTCTGTCACTCAGTCAAGTAAGCACATATGAAAGAGAAGAGCTGATAAAAAAACATTTTAAAAAGATGTAGTGAAAATAAGGTATATATCTTGAATTATTGAATGGATTTCTAATGGTGAATAGCCTTGGGCTAAGGAATCAGAATTTTACTATAAATTTTACTCAAGAAACATAAATAAAACATCTCTAAGTTGGGAAGGAAAATATAAAGTACTTCTCTTTGGAGATGATGTAATTTTATAAAAAAAAAAAAGACCTAGTTAGTGACTAGTCTCTTGAATATATAAAGAATTCAATGATAAAAGATAAACAGCCCACTCAAAAAACTGAACAAAGGACTTGGATAAACATTACTATAAAGATATTTAAGTGTCCAAGAAGCAAATGGAAATATGTTTACCATCAGTAGTCATCAGGAAAATGCAAATTAAAACCACATAGGCATTCCACTTCCTGCTAAAAGAACTATAATTAAAAACAGATATGGAGAGGGTTTGGGGAATTTGGAACCTTCAATATGGTATGGGTGGGAATATAAGATAGTCTCTCCCCCCACACACACACAATAATACATCATTTCCACAAAGCATTAAATATAAATTACTACATGATCCAGCAGTCTATTTTCAAAGGGATCAAATACTTACTGACCTTTAAGCAGTTAGCACTGTAGGCTGAGAGTCATTATCTCTAAAGCCATGGATGCCAGCCTCAAATCTTCATACTTCAGCTATTTGAAAATTTTTGTCTGACTGTTTCATGCACTTCCTTCATCTCTCTCCCTCTCTTGCTGGAGACCTTCTTCTCAACAAGTCTCCCTCCTACATTTATGCCTTCCCTTTGTGTGAGGCCCATTGAATTGAACAAGAGTTACTTGCCCAAGTGTAGGTAGAAGGCTATTTAATAGAGCAAGGGCAACTTATCTGAGACTATACCACTGAAGAAAATAACACCCTTCCCCTAAACAACCATTAATTGCCAATTGTCCCTCTGAGAGAGGTAGAATATCATTTAATTTTTTTCAAAATAAAACAAACACACGTGTTTTTATCCGTTTAGAATTTAACTGCTTTGCACTTCCCTCAAAGCTCTTGCAACCACAGCTATGTTATTTTCTTTTTTATTAGTATGTATTCAGTGTACAAAATGATGGGTATCAAAATCATATTTTCATTCAAGCATATCATGTATTTTGACCATAGTCACCCCTCTTATTCTTCCTTGTCCTCTCTCGCCATCACTAGTTCCCTGCCTATTTCAAAATAATTCCCATTATCCTTTCTTGTCTGCCAGACAGATTAAATACAAATGTAGATTCAGATGATAATGAATATGCATGTAAAGAATGTTTCTCAACATATATATATATATATATATATATATATATATATATATGTGTGTGTGTGTGTGTGTGTGTGTGTGTATATATATAACAGAAAACATGCAATATTTGTGTAGAAGATAGAGTCTTATAGTTATAAGGCTCCAAGCTCATGCTTCCATTTACAGCTATCAGACATAGAGCCCACCTGTTAGTTGCTGAGAAATATCTCTCATCCAAATAATTCCTTTTACAATCCTTCATCTCCCCTGGGAATATTCATGCTCTTTTCACTCCTAAAGGCCTTTAAATGTCTCTTATTATATATGATTTCTTGCCTATTATACAATCCTAACCAGTGGGACTTAGTAAAGTCTTGTATGCTACTGCCTCTCATGATCAGTCATCACGTCCCTGATCCCTCCAAGTCTCCAGGAAGAAGATAAACTAGATAGGGACTGCAGAGAGGGAGAACAACTTCTGGACCCCAAGAACAGCAGGAAAAGATCACATAGACTCTCCAGTTCATAACTCTCACCTTTCAAAAGAGGGGGCTTTAGCTGAGCTTATTTTTCTGCCAGATCAAACATATGCCTTTCTGAAATCATAGGGCAAGAGAACCACCATCAGCAGAAGAGAGTGATGAGGAAGCCAGGCCATAGCAAGCAGTAAAAAGAAACTCCTTCTCCTTCATCCTCAGTGATTTCTTCTTACTATTATATGATACTGTAAGAGAAGTACGCAAAATCATGGCTTCTGCACTTCACTTAAAGTGGTAAAATGTTGACACTGGTATATTGTAAATCACATAGTCATGCACCAGTTATCAACAAGGTCACCTTCTAAGGAATGCATTATTAGATGAGTTGATCATTGTGTGAATGTCATAGAATGTACTTGCACAAACCTCCATAGAGTAAGGTCAGTCACTCAATATGATCTCTTGATAGAATTACAATACACAGTAAGTACAAGGTATACAAAGCTGCTGCCACTACCCCATATTACATGTTGGATGACAATAATCTTTCTGTAATTAGGAAAAAATCAATTATAAAGTATTTGTAAAATTAGTATGGTATGTAATAGAAATGTAAAAAAAAAAAGCCAGTAATATCAAATAAAGACAGATGTTATATAAGGATGAGTCAGTCAAGTATAGACTACATATATGATGATGTTCTGGTATAGTTATACCAGAGGTGAAAGATGATTACCTATTATTTTATCTCTGTTGAGGTATACAAACATTTATCATTTTGTTGTAATTTTCCCTGTATTTATCTAGTAGAATCTGTCTTGAAAGCCTAAGATGAAGGCCATCTCTGTGTCTGCTTCTCCTGACTTTTTCTTTTATTGAGCATAATAGTGCATATCCTGTCTTTAATTGATTCTTACATTTGTTTTTATTTTATGCAATAAATCTCTCTTTAAATACTAAAGTAAATGACGGAAATTTCCAAGAAATTCCATGACCAGTCTTATATTTGGATGCAAATGGAAGGCTTAATCAGTGAGTACCAACTGAGCTAGGCTGACTTCACTGTATCACTGGTTACATTCTATTCACCAGTAACTTCTGTGGTGGTTTATATAAAAATGACTCCCATAGGTTCATATATTTGAATGCTTGACCACCAGGGAGTGGGACTATTAGAAGCTATGGACTTGGAGTAGGTGTGGCCTTGTTAGAGGAAGTGTGTCACTGGTGGAGGGCTTTGGGGTTTGGAATGCCCAGGCCAGGCCCAGTGTCTCTCTCTTGCTGCTGCCTGTAGATACAGATGTAGAACTAACTCTAAGCTCCTCTCCAGCACCATCTTTGCCTACATGCTGCCATGTTTCCTGCCATACTGATAATGGACTAGATCCTGGAACTATAAGCCAGGCCCAATTAATTTATACAATTTATTATTAATAAATAATATTAATATAAATAATAATAAATAATTATTAATTTATACAATTCCTTTATAAAAGTTGCATGGTCATGGTGTCTCTTCACAGCAATAGAAACCCTAACTAAGAAGCTGGTACCAGGGACTAGGGTATTTATGTGATAGAGCTGACCACGTCTTTGTTTGGAGGAATGTAGCCTTGGGTCTTTGGATTAGAAAAGTAGTTGACCACTTTAGGTGGGGATTAATTAACCATACTAGTAGTTATTACTCCCTATAAAATATTTTGAAGTTGTCTTAGGGAGGAACAAGATTCTCTACATTATGGCATCAGATCAGGACAATGGGCAAATTCAAGAGTTCTTTTTGTGCTTTAAAATGGAGCCACTGTCTTTCTATATCTTAAAATGGTAGTTCTGACTTTTTGATTCCAGGAGCTCTTACTCTCTTGTGTCAGCCATAATCTTCTGAACATGTATTTCCCTCTGATTCCTATTTACCAATCTCATCAGAACTGCCATCTTTCTAAGAAGGACCACAATGTCACAGAAGTTTTTTGCTGCCTTTGCCAGCTTCTATGGATCAGAGACCAGTGGGTTTGAGTTTTCTACTCATCCCCTCTCTTGACTTCCATAAACACCATGTTCTACTTAGAGGAGACTCTCATATCTCACAAGGTGTGTCTCTCTCTTGGCTCTTCTTTCTATCTTGTCACCAGCCTTTTGGCAAGTCTTCTTAACCACTAGGTGAAAACCTGTGGGAAAGATGTGGTGGGCAGTGGTAGACTTTTCTATGGCTTAGACCCCTTGGCAACCCTAACTCTCACGCCAACCTACACATAGTCATTACATTCATAGGAAGTTGTTCTGGCTTCTCCTTACCATTCTCTATGCAGGTGCCTCCCCTGCCAGGACTTCATATAAGGTGAGAACAGCTGTAGAATTCCTTTATGGGGGACCTGTCATTTGTTTGTAAATTAGTTTATTTTGGGTTTGCAGCATCCTCGGGCTTCAAAAAAGAGAATTATATACTTTTTGAATACTGTCCAGATTTTTTTTTAGTTTTTTTGGAAGTCAGCAATGACTTTTGTGTCTTGCTGAATCTTGACTATAAGAAGTCTCACACAATCTTTGTACAATCCCTTAGCTCTATGTTTTAAAATTATGGGTTATGATTTAGTGACCATATAATAGCTCTCTTCTACAGTAAAGGTTTCTGTGAACATTCACTTTCTTATATAGTAAATTGACTTATTTATTTATTTTTACTTTAAAAGTATTTGATGACAGACTATTAGATTAGAATCTTCAGATTTTATATCCATTTAACTCAGGTGTGACCTTTAAATGGATACCAAAGTCAGCATGCTCCTCCGAGTGTAAGGTGCCCCATTCATTTTAAGTTCTTAAAGAAATTGCAAATCTCTCATTTTAGGGTCATTTTTTTGCTGCCCATAGTGCTTTTTAGAGTCACAAGGACTGACAGTTGAAACTTATGCTTGTTCCATTAAGTGCAGTGGTATTTAACAAATTGATTCATGAAGACAGCATTCGTATTTTTACTGTTAACCCTAACAAACCCAACTGCTTTCACATACAGTATTTTCCAGGTTTTTCACATTCACTCTCTGCAATTCAAAGGATCAATATATGTAGCTAATATTACTTACTATAAGCGTCAATAAGTGAAGGTCTGAAGCCTTGCTAGAGATTACAAAACTTGAAGTTCTTCAAGACTTTAATCTATCGATTCTCCCATAGCTCTCTCTAGATATTATAGTAGTCTGAACACATTTTCAAAGTCTGTTGGATTTTGGAAATAGGACCTTAGTTTTAATAAGGAGAATTAGGTAGAAAAATAAAGCAAATTCATACAATATGCTGTCTTTCATTTCCTGTTTTCTGTGGTTATCAGACTGTTTATTTCTTTATGTCTTATATAGTTTTTTAAATTTATTTATTTTTATTTTATTTTATTTTACAATACAATTCACTTCTACATATCAGCCACGGATTCCCTTGTTCTCCCCCATCCTGCCCCTCTCCCCTTCTCACCAGCCCACCTCCATTCCCACCTCCTCCAGGGCAAAGCCTCCCCCGAGGACAGAGATCAACCTGGTAGACTCAGTCCAGGCAGGTCCAGTCATAATTTTATAGCTGTGGCCAGGACTATACAAAACCATGAATTTACTTCAGTGCACTCATTGGAAGAGATGTCATGTATCTGCATAGCCTCACGGGCAGAGCACAAATTTACAGATATAAGACTATGTTGTCTGCCTCTTGATCATTCTGGTACAGCTTCCACACAGTTAGCAGGTCCCGGTCATCTGCTAAATAAAGTCCTGAATACTCAATCTGTCACTGATAGGTCTTTGCAATTTTATGCTACAGGATTTTCTAACCTTGTCATTGGCCAACTGACACTTTTCTTGGTGATAATAATCAATTAGCTCTTTGATAAGGATGGAGATGAACATTGGATTACTGGAAAAGAACATTCAATTTTCTGAGAGAAAGCAGAGATGTGGGATTTTTATAACCTAACTTCACTCATATATATATATGTGTGTGTGTGTGTATGTGTGTATGTATGTATATGTATATATATACATATATATATATTATATATATCTGCTGTACATTTTGGAATGTAAGATATTAAAAATCCTTTTAAATTCCGACAATTTTTAATTACATAAAATTTTACTGTTCCAACTTTTAGTTTGTTTATTTCTACAACTTACATAGGCAAAACAAAGGAAAATTGACATTGCTGAATCTTCCATATTGTTAACCTGCCCCATCCATTTATGTCATTTAATAAGTGCATCTTGAAAAACTTGATGATTCAACCTAGAAATATTATGTCTATGTTTATTTGAATAAAGCACCACATGATGTTTGGCTTTTTCTGGATTTAATTTTCATAAATAGCAACAAACACGTTTTTTAAAATCTAACTTTGCAAGCTCAGCTTTACATTCTGAGAACACGTATGAAGATAGGCATTTGATTTTACTCATAAGAATGTCTCCAACAGCATTTGGACTAGAGGATTCTCAACAAATTTCCAAAGTTAGGAGCTGAATACAAGCTATGCTTCCAGAAATATCTCATCCTTCAGGCTCACTAAGAAAGTAGCTAGACCATTTGTCAACAAAGAACAGATTTTCTGCTGAGGTAATTTACTAGCCAGACGCTGACATGGTCTTCTCATTCCAGGTTATACTCTGTAGCCAGAGACCACACCTTCTATTTCAGGCTTTGTGACAAATGTTCTTTGGTTTTAGACCAACTCCAGACCTGGCACTGGTGAAACTGCTTTAAGCAGATAATACATCTGAATTACCTCACCAAGTAGGTTCAGGAGACACTCTACCTACTGAATCCAGAGACTCACTAAGTCTAGTGTAAGCTACCTCTTTGCAACCTTTTTTTTTTTTTTTTTTTTGCTTTGAGCATCTGCCTCTTCCCACTGACAACTGAATGACTTCAATTAAGTTCTGTCAATTCAAAAGGACTATTAGAGATGACTAGGTGTAAATTGAGCAGATTTTTCTGAAACTGTTTTTTTCCTAGGCAAAGAAGTTATGGTTTTCTTGATAAGGAATTGTGAGCTTTTGCTTGCCTGGCAGTCTTCTGGTTGTCTGCGGTGGTGATTTCAGGTCATTGGAAATATACTACATCTGTGAATATATGGAACTATACTCCATACTGTGAAGGACTAACAACACCAAGGTGTCAGAACATGTTTCCTTAGCATATGTTAGTCACTAGCATCACCTCAGCCCTGAAGAAGGATCAGTATGCGCTTAGATTTCAGTACTTTCATTGGAAAGAAGAAGGATAACGGAAAGTGAAATTCTTGTTTTTGAATAACAATATGCATAGTCTCTGTGTTTTCCATGTAAACTTTAATCTTATAAAAGTTTGTGAATAAAAAAAGTTGTTACTTTTTATGCCCAAAGAAATGAAGTAAGAAAATAACCAGCTTCTATCTGATTCCTCAATCTCACTGTGTCTGATTGAAAGCTGTTCTTTTTTTTTTTTCTCCTTCCCCCCCCGCCCCCCGGGCAATTCACTTAATCCATCTTCCTTTAAAAGTAACTTATTAAGAAAAACAAAGTTGTCAGTTTGGCCTAAGAGTTATGAGAGAAGGTTGGAATAACTCAAAAGTATCAGTAGAGGAAAAATTCTTCAAAGATGTCTCTTGTTAAACTTGGTTAACTTGCTGGTCATGGTCTCACATGCCTATCTTTCCAGTGGGTAGATAACTGCCAGTTTGAGACCACTCTGGTCTACAGAGAATTCTAGGCCCACCTATACCCTTCTTAAATAAAAAAAAGAAGACATCAAAGAAGTAACCAAATGACCCAATGAAACTGGCTAATTTATAGACACATTTTAATAAATAAATATTTCATACTTTAGATAAAGGAAATAAAGAGTGAAATGAAGACTATAATTTTTTCCATTCAAGTAAAATAGCCAATATACACAAAACAGTTCCTAGCATTAAGTATTTGCTCACTTATTTTTTTTTCAAGCTTAAATTTAAAAAAAAATAATTAAAGGGAAAAAAGATAAGATAAAGCAGAAAGATTAAATATGATCACCTGTATTATAACATATGTAAATGGAATTTATAGTATCTATGTAATACTTTTAACATGTGAAAAAAGAAATTGAGCTTCTTCTGCTTTGTACAGCTCTCCTAAACAAATCTTGGGCACTACAATATTTATATGTTTGTATATTATAGTCATTATAGTTTGCTGTCTTTCCGCATAGAATTTTGGCTAGAACAAAACTGAGAAAGAACTAGATGACCGAATAAACAGTTCCGTGTGTTAGGAACCAGGCAGTTAGTCACTGGTGTACAGGTTTATTTATCTAATGACAAGTACATGGGAAGGTAAAGGTGAGTTTACCTTTACAGTTTATTTTGGTTCCTCTGAGGTCATCAAAAATCATTTCCTAAAAGTCAGAGACAGAATAACATGAACACTACAGAAAGGGCAATCTGTGCGACCACAGGGGGATGAGCGCTTACAGTAGGGAAAGGGCAAGTGCTGATGATCAGGAGCTTAACGGGAGTTCACTGGAGAGCAGGGCGCCAGGTGGGAGTGCCGGGAGCACTGAGATGCAGAAACCCTGAGAGGTCGGACCTGAGAAGTTGTGTGATAGAATAAACCCAAACTCTACAATTTCATCAATATTCGCTGCTTGTCTTGCTACTGTGTAGGAATGGTCTAGTACTTCAGCTCTTTCTACCACCCATTTCCAGGCTGTGATTTGAAACTGGAAGCTTCCCAGAAGCCATGAGTACATGGCTGTGCTTCAGCAAGGAAAGCAGGAGAGATGGTGATTCCTTCAACTGCCACTGAGATGAGCCAGTGTCACTGTTCACTGTGCTGCGTGAATGGAATTGCTTTTTGCCTAGTCACTCCATTCATTTACAAAAGTGGATAATGACTTTTTTTTTTTTTTTTTTTTTTTTGGCAATGAGGAAGCACATGCGAAGTTGTTGCTACAATGCAGACAGTGTAATCCTGCAAATGAATCCAACTATTCCCTCAGGCGTCTTCATTACTCAAGCTTCCAAAGAAGGCAAAGCTGCTATGTTGAATCTATAGCTACTAGGAACTGTGCATGTAGGCACACATAGCTGTATATATTTTGATAAAAAATGGTGGGTGTGCACATCCATCTTGTTCTGTGTAAAGAATGTAAAAATTGATATAATGGTAGCAAATGAATTTTACTCTCACCTTTCCCCCATTACTTAGTAAGTTATAAAGAACTACATTTCCCACAGAGACAACTTCAAAATCAATATACAAATGTATGAGTTTATTTCATGTTATTTAAGGAATTATTACCATCCATTCTTCACTTTCAGATGAAAACTAATAAGCGAAAAATAAAAGCTTCTTTCTAATATCATTCAATATTCAATGTAAAAACCCATGGTAGCACCCTTCTTAGGTTGAATCTACTTTGGATAACAAATTCATCAGTAGGACATGTATATACATATGTGTATATATATAATATTTAGCTTACTAGGGAAAATAAATAATAATTTTGCCCATTTGGATGTCCATTTTTCTTGTCACCTAACAAATCCAATAACTAAGATTTCAAAAAAAAAAAAAAAAACGCTTTATAGGTTATGCAATAAGTTTACAAAAATAACTGAGAACTACTAAGGTACCTATAATTCATATCAGAAAAATCTGGACTTTTTGAATTATTAAAAATAATTAAGTGGTATGCCTGAAGTGGTATACCTTTCTTAATTTCTGCTGTGACCATTCAAGATGCTCTCTGAATGCAGAAAATCACAGAAAAAGTAGGTGATAATGTAAGTACCCAACAGGAATTGACTATAGCACACTATACAATTGTACCTGAATTGATGAGGCCCTTGCCTCATGTTCCATTATGTTCATTTTCTGAGATTCTTAAAACTATCAGCCATCAAGTTGCATAACAAGTAACTCAGAAGTTTTGGTTCTATATCAGGCTTTAAGATTCTTATAAAGGTCCCCATTGTGTTACCTTGACACATGTCAGAAAAGCAGCATTATCTTTAACAGTATACAAAAATGAGATTGTTAAACAGTAAACTAGAACAGAACTACCCAAACCAGTTGATTATTGTCCTCCAACACTCTTTGAATAAATGAAAACCTTTTCAATTAGTACTCAGTGACAATAGCTGGCTATTTTTCCATTTTTGTTGAAACAACTTGTCAGATAATTATATGTAGATGGCAGAATTTCAGTAAATTAATCACCTGTTTTTGTTGATGTCTACATTATATCTGAGAGTAGGAACATGCATTCATGTCTTCATTAAAAACTACTGAGGATTTCATGATTATGTGCCAGAAATCACTCATAGGGAGAACCATGGAACTGAGGCATACACACTGTCTCCATATGAGTAACTTATAAACAACGACAACAAAATAAATGCAAAAGTAGGAAATATAAAAAATGAGTGTGAAAAATACACTGAAAGATATGATGGAAGATAGAAAATATGGGCTGGAAAAGAACTGGGTATAGGATTAACACAGAACAGGAAAGGGCTCAGTGAGAACATCACGTTTAAGTGAAAGCATAATTGGGAAGAAGGGACCTGTCATGTGGTAATTTAGAGAAGAGGGTACCCAGTAGGAAAAACACTAGTTCAAATGTCCAAGGTTGGGTATTTCCTGGGCCTCCAATAAAGAGCAGGGTGCTAGTCAGTGAGGCTGGAGCAGAAAGATGAGGCTACCCAGTGAAGTGGGCTCCAGGAACTGACAGAGCTCATGTGATGTTGGATATTGTCTGAACTTGAAGAACTTAGCAGAACTCTGGTTAGCCATATTCCTTCAGGTCTATGATTTTCATCTCTTCCTACCTGGAACTTATAAAGCAACTTTAGTTTCTGGATCTGTGATGATATGTTGTGTACCCTAACAAAATATGCCTGAAGATCAGAGAACAGAACAAGCCACTAGATTAAACATAGATGCCAGGCAGTGGTGGCACACACCTTTAATTCTAGCACTTGGGAACCAGAGATCCATCTGGATCTCTGTGAGTTCAAAGCCACTACATGAGATTGATTCAGTCTAGGAGAGAAGCAGTCAGGCAGTGGTAGCACACACCTTTAATCCCAGTACTTGAGATCTCATGTCTTTGTTACCAGTATTTGGGAAGCACATGTCATTAATCACAGCACTAGGAAGGAAGTGATATGGATGGGCAGAGAAAGATATATATGCTGTGAGGAGACAGGAACTAAAGCTGGCCCCCTTTTGGCTGAGGACTCAGAGACACTCAGTCAGAAGATTCGTGGAGTTGGTAAGGTGAGAAGTAGCTGTGGCTTGTTCCTTTGTCTCTCTGATCTTTTACCATTTACCCCAATATCTGGCTCCGGGTTTTTATTATTATTATTATTATTATTATTATTATTATTATTATTATTATAAGGCCATTCAAGATTTTGAGCAACATGGATCTGCTTTAAAATTTAAAAGTTCTTAAAACTTCCATTCTACTCACAAGTTATTTCTCTTCCTTCATTTAAATGGCGTTCAGTACACACTATTATTATGGCTCTCTTACCGTCACATGATCTGTTTCTTGCTCTAACTAGTTTTAGCAAGCCAGTAGAGCTGGAACAAAGGGACAATGAAAGCTTTGTGAGGCAAGGTCAGAAAAGTGCTTGAGGTCATGTGACATGGGCCTTGTCTCTACTTACACTGGTTGGGGAGCCAGAGAAGGATTTTAAGTAGAGAACAGACAAGACCTGCCTTTCCTTTTAAATTAATCACTCTGGTCAATGTACTAGAGGAAGATAGGGCAGGAGCAGATCAGTACTTCTGTCACACTGTGATAAAGTGCTACATGCCCTCCCAAAGAATATTCTGGAATTAGAAAGGCATATGTGCCTTCATCAGAGTTCTTGTGTGGGTTCAAAGAAGCATGTGTGCCATGCCATATTCAAATGAGAAGTATGAACAGATTATCTGAAAAGGAAACATAAAACGTATTTCAAAAAGGAAAACAAAATAGAAGCATATCTACGATGGTGTACTCAAGAGGGCTGTGGTCTTCGTAGACACAGCATGCATGCATGCACAGTCACTATGCCCAGTAGTTTTCACTTCACATAAGCAATGAGGTAATCACAAATGTTTTTAGGAATCTAAGAAATAAGGGAGAAAAACTAGAATGATGAAAAATTAGAGTCAAACACCAATTCTTGCCTTGGTCTCAGTCTAGCAGAGAATATAAATGATTTGCAATATAATAAAAGCAAATATGGTGTATACAAAAATCAGTTAAGGAGAAGAAGATGAAAGCTATAACTTCAATAGGAGTATCAAGAATGGCATCTTTGAGGGAGTCGTCTTTGAACTGGATTTTTAGAAGCCAGAGTGTTTTTATTTCTTAAGTCATGAAAGGGAAACAAGGTCGGAAAAGAATGAAAGACCTGGGAACCTTACATGTGACTGTTTGAGGGGAGAAAAAAAAAAAAAGAACACATCTAACCACTCCAGCTAGGGAGTCAGTGACGGAAAAGTCCATCTTGGTAAATCACTGAGTGTCCTGGGATTACTTACAGGAGTGTGTTAAGATGTTACTGACAGAAACACAAAAGAATGAAAAGCTACAGATACCGAGTCCTCTTGAACAGCTTGCAGGGAGCCTGACCAGCCAGAAAGACTCCTCCTCCCAGGCCTCCTTATTTGTTATTTTACTTAGAGGCAGAGCCTTGTGAACATTGTAAAGGATTTCCTGAGACTTGCGGTTGTTTCCTTTCTAAGGCTTGTAAGTTTTGTTTACTTCCTGGATCTTTTTTCTTTTTCTTTTTTGTTGTTGTTGTTTTGTTTGAGACAGGGTTTCTCTATGTAGCTCTGGAGCCTGTCCTAGAATTTGCTCTATAGGCCAGGCTGGCCTGGAACTCACAGAGATCTGCCTGTCTCTGCCTCCTAAGTGCTGGGATTAAAGGCCTGTGCACCACTACCTCCTGGCTACTTCCTGGATCTTAAGGAGCCTCTTAATGTGGAATATTCCCATTCAGGAAAAAAATTGCTGCATAACAAACTTCCAAGAGGATGGGTGGCCCCTGAAAGATACAGTGAACACAAGGGCATACAGAGAAAGGGAGAGAGGAAAGAAAATGTCATTAACAAGGATTTTATAACATTTGAATGGCTCTAACCTCTGAGTGTGTCTAAGGGAAAACATTAAGTACAGCCTTGAAATTCTCAGGCTGGCCTTTTGGAAAGCTCCTGGGGGATGTCTTTGATAATTTCAAATCTCTGATAAAAATTTATCTTTTATATTTGATAAATAATTTCTACTGAAGGAAGACTGGCTAGAATACTGTTCAAACAGTCTACAGCAGAATCATAGGGTTGTGTTAGACCAGTGAATATGAATGCAAAGTAAGGGATGAATTCACAATGTAAGTCGGAGCCCAATTCAATTGCTTTTGGTGATGAATTATTTTACAGGAAGAGAGAAAAAGGAATTTCAAAGACATAGTTCAATGATGTGTTGATTTCTGTCTTCAGTCTCCAGGCTTAGGCTAGTGCATTCATTAATGTAAGAAGGAAAGGAAAAGGAGAAAGATTGGGTTAAATAATGGACTTGAGAAAGGATCTGATAGACTTGAACATGTGAAAGTATAGAGAGAAATCCTAGATTTAAATGTCTCATAAGACCAGGGAATGTTTTAGGAGCATAGTATATGGCATACAGTAGATATTTAATATTTTCTCAATTTGGATACACAGCACTAATTATAACGAAATTAGGCCAGCCTAACTTGTCAATTTGCAACATTTCAACACTTCAGAATCTTGCACTTCTATGACATTTCACTGATTCACTCCTAACCCACCTGTCAATGCTAAATTCTGTGTACACAACAAGCTAAGGCCCAGAACTAAAACTGTCAATTCAGAGAGACAAAAATGGTGCTGAATTTACTGTTCCCTGGTATAATCCTTACTGGGTTGGTAGTGTCCACTGGTGCAATTTGAAATATACATTTATTTAATTTTGATAAACATTCAGCCAGCACGCTCAAGTTAGAAAATTTGCAATTTGAATATAACTAGAAATGAGATGGAGACTGACATCGAGGAAGGTAGTGAACTTAGCAGACAGCGACATGGGCTCCTCAAATATGCTATAATATACTTTGTCACAGTTCTACTGATGTAGCTTACATACCTTGTAAAATGAATGGAAGAACGTTTATGTCTCTGTTCTTTCTTTAACTAAAATGTAGTTCTAGTTAACCAATTTAATAATCATTATGATTAAATAATACACATAAAATGAATAATTTTCTGTGACTACCATATTAAAATAAAATATATTCAAATTTATGGCACAAGATATTTTCTACTGAACAGTTCCATACAGTTAGAGCTAACTAGAGAAAGATATTTATTTCTTATGTCTCCTTAAAATAATTGATAACATTCATGCATTTTGAAATGTATGCCTGGTGAAAATTAGAAAAAGGATCATGAATTCTATATGATTTTATATTATAAATTCATAGAATTTAAAGTGTATTTTTCTTTCCATTTCCACACTGATTTATTGCTTTGAGGTCAATGTCTCACTAAATAATGCAAATATAATTGTGGCTGAAATAATTACATGTCTGCTTAGGAATTCCTTGTTTGAGGGAGAAAATTATTTGAGGATACTTAATTCTTAAGTATAATTCTTATATAGTCTCTTGTCCTTACTGTGTTTAGAAAGAAACACTGCATGTTAAACTAAATGATGTCTCTGTTTTCTCTGTTTGCTAATGCTGGTAACCACAAAGAGCCTCAGGAACACTCCATTATTACACTTTAGAATCCACTAATATAACATTTAAGATAGCACATTTATTTTCCTAATCCTGAAAATCCCCCATACTTATAATACTATTGACTGTATTACAGACAAGAAAAGAGAGGCTTAGAAAAACAGGGAATTCTTTATCCTAACATGACATATTTAATTATGGGCAGAATTATCTTTGACCCAACCATGTATATTAATCCAGGCTAGGTCTTAAAATTTGCTTTGCGTACACCAACATGCTGAGAACGGAGAATGCCAGTGCAGGAACACCATGCCTCTCTCTAATTTTCCTTCAATGGTACATGTGCTTTGTGTTGTGCTACGTGAACTACAACAACGCCCATCAGTAAGATGTGCATAGTCCCAGTTTAGTCCACACTGAATTATTGCATAGTCTTGTTTTTACCGGAAAGCGTACTATAGCAATGAGGCAAAGCAACATTCTTTTGTCATGTGCTCTCACCATTGTGACTGATTGCCAAAGAGTCTTCGCCTCTGCCCCTGCCGTTTCTTCAATTGCTGTCACTTTTCGTGTTTTATTCTGCCCTTCTTCTCATCACTCTTCCTCTTCCTGCTCCTCCCCCTCCTTCTTCACTTCTTTCTTCCTTTAGTCTCTGAGCCAATTAGGGACAAGAATACAAGAATCCTGTGGTGTTCAGTTTTGTATTGAATGTGCTTGGCACAGAGTAGGGGTCCAATCAGTGATGCTGAACTGATTTTCTCTGCTTTACATGGGCTGTGTCCTCAAGCATTGTAACCATGCCAGTTGGCAATGGTGTCATTGTTACCCTTAAACCAAACTTTTTCGGCACCAGAATCAGAGGGACTTTCAGAAGTACAGGCTCAAGGGGGTTACTGCACAGAGTGTGCATCAGAATCTGCTTACAGGCAAGCCAACTCAATTGTACTTTGGGCAGTTCTGTACTCTTGTGAAGCTTGGTTTCAAATAAAAGTCTTTTGGTTGCCTGGTATGGGCAAGAAAATGAGATACTCATTAGGAAAATCTCAGTCCATTAGGTATTTTATTTAACACCACATAGGAAATCAAGGGGATTTGTAATACATTCATGAGACAAACACATTGAGCTATCAAAATTTATAACTAGGTAAAAAAATAAAGTATAAGCTGGGTATGGTGGCTCACACCTGTAACCAAAGTGCTTTAGAAACAGACAGAAGGGTCACCATGAGTTTCAGGCCAGCCAGGTCTACATAGTGCATAACAGGAAGGCTAGAGCTACACAATGAGACTCTATTTCAAATTTTACAAGAGATAAAAGCATGTAAAAAGTTGTTATCAAGACTGAGTTCATATAATGAAAAATTATGGGCAAAATTATTGACAAAAACAAAAGTTTTTGATTATTATTATTATTATTATTATTATTATTATTATTTTTTTTTTTTTTGGTTTTTCGAGACAGGGTTTCTCTGTGTAGCTTTGCGCCTTTCCTGGAGCTCACTTGGTAGCCC